ATCGCGTGTGTCGTTAAACCCACCACCACCCGACACAGCCAATGAGTTACATTTTTAAAACAACTTTATTTTCGCGCAACTTTATTAATTCCCTTGTGCTTCTGGAGACTGAGATTAATTGCCATGATTTTGGGGGGGGAGGGTCACGATTATGTGTCTCGTTTGTCTCCCTGTACGGCCCCTTCTCTCTCGTTCTGTCAACATTTCCTGGCAGTCTCGTTTGTATTTGTTCATCCCATTCTGCCCTGTTTGTATTGTCAGTCTCGTTTTGTTCCATCGCATTATTGTCGTGTTAGTGTTGTCAATCCAGTATATTCGCTGCCGTTCATCTGGCCTCATTTCTACTGTTTCTCTCGTATGTTTTATCTCCGTTGTCTTGTTAGTATTTTAACTGCTTGGTGTATTCCCATTTGTTGTGACTATTGTAGCGTCTTGTGCAATTTTCTCCCATTGAACCAACGGTGCCGATATACACTCCCAGAAGGGCGTGTGGCTGATGGGATTTGTAAACAAATTTTTTTTAAACATTTAAATATTACTTACACGGGTTGTCCGCAACCGATTTTCACAGCCGACATTTACTCGTCACATAAAGTGAGCGTGAGAATTGTTCTATGAATCGTGACGTTTCCCTATCGCTTGCGCACTGTTTACGCCGTCGCTCTCCACGTGGTCCGTCCGGGCTGTGCCGCGTGTTGCTCCGCACGACGCCTCGGCGCTCTGCGCGTTTGGCAGCGTTTTCCTGATGGAGCGAAACGTCGGACACGGGATGTTACGATCATAAAATGTGTTGTACACCGCGCTGAACGACACGCGGTACAACCGGAAAGCACGCTCGGGAGCTGTACGTCAAAGACTAAGATCCACGTATAGCCTTTAGCAGATTCTTAGGGCAGGTGCTGTTAGCGAGCACCTATGAAGGATGGCACAGCGCAGGTTAAATCGGTGGCCGACACCAGGGGCGGCTGCCTATTATCTCTCCAGTGTTGACGCTTAGACGCTCCACCAGGTACTCATTTTAAGGCCGAGTCGACCTAGGTGAGGGCCCAGGACCGGTTCAGATGTTCACCACTGCTATTGGTCGTGAGTGGGAATCAAACCCGGGTCGCCGGTTTCGTAGTGCAGCGCTCTTGGCCACTGCACTACCGCACCACCTCGACAAACCCTGCGTCTGTATTCCACTAAAGCGCCAGTTGCCACACCGGCGGGCTGGTGACCCACTTCTCATGAAATCTGTAAATGACGGGAAAAGTCCCCCATCATCATCATTACCGAATAAGAGTGCCGCCTGGAAAACCGGAAGCTTCAGACGAGACGCACACGCAGGTGTAAAAAGGCTCACGGCCATTGTGCATGTGCAGAAAACCGTCGGCATATCCTGCAGAAAAGCTGATTCTAAGACAAGAGGACCACAGTGGCTTGGGTCGTGATACGCTGATGGTTGTTTTTTTTGCACATGCCTCACGGGCCGTGCGCTTCCCACGCCGTGTTGTCTCGTCCCGTTTGAAGCTCACGACCAAGGCTTCTGATTGGCCGCGGCGCCGCTTTGTCACCGCAGCGCCCGCAGGCCGTTGTCCCTCCTGGCTATGGAACACGACCCCACTTTGTCATCGAGCGGCGAGAGGAGTGAAAAGTCGGGGAGGTGTTGGGGAGGGGTACCTACTCGCATTCCCCTTTCGGATCGGAAGGCGACACCTGTTCTAAAGGTGGCTCAGCTGCAATTGAGCTCACTTTGAAGATGCGCTCGTTCCTGCCCCTGCGGCGAGACGAATGAGCGGACGAAGCGTCGGCTCCACTTTTCCCCGTCCTCCACGAGAGTCCCGGGCGGTGGTGGCGCACGCCGGTAACACGGCACTGGAGGCTGCCCGGGGGAGGGGGGGGGCGGTTGGTGGTGGATCACCGCACAAATGTTGGTGTCGAGGAGGTGCCATCACTGGCTCGCCGGGAGAAGGCGTTGCAGAAAGCAGTGGACCAATCGCCATTGGTTTCCATCTCTACGGGAATTGAGTGTTGCCCCCCCCCCCCACTTCGTCCTCGCGCAAGGCGTGGGCTGTCTCCGGGTGCTCCGGTACCGTGTTAATCGGCTGAAAACATCTCAACATAAAAGCCCAGGACAAGGAGGACCTTGCTGGAAAAGAGTCATACGACTCGGGTTGCCTTTCCTGGAGAAATAAGTAAATTATAATGTTACTAGCTTTTTTGCCCGTCCAAGGACGGGTGTATATTGTAGTAAATCTGAAATATTCAATAGAAAAATTGTTCAGCTCATGATTATTAATGAGGGGGGGGGGGCGGTTTGCCCCATGTGGAGTGATGTCACCCGTTAATGGTTATTGTGGAGGGATGCGGCATGTGGAGTGACGTCACCCCCTCATGGTTATTGTGGAGGGGTGCGGCATGTGGAGTGACGTCACCCGTTAATGGTTATTTTGGAGAGATGCGGCATGTGGAGTGACGGCACCCCCTCATGGTTATTGTGGAGGGGTGCGGCATGTGGATTGACGTCACCTGCTCATGGTTATTGTGGAGGGGTGCGGCATGTGGAGTGACGTCACCCGCTCATGCTTATTCATGAGGGCAGGCGTGCGGCATGTGGAGTGCACGACCTTGTGCGTTAGTGTAAATTTCCACGGGGGCATGAGTTAATGAAGGGGGTGACCTCACACACGGTTGTAGCTCTGCTGTATTCTTGGGTCTTACGGTAAAGTCACGTGACCCAAGAATATGAATTCCTGCAGTCACGAAAGCTTTAAGTCAAGCACTGTGCTGCTTAGATTTTTTTATCGTCACTTTCTGCAAAGAAACGTCATTATTGAAACGACTTTGCGCAATTAATTATTGAATTCGACTCGAACTTCTGCGTTAGTCTAAAAATCCACCCACTCATGAATATTAATGAGGGGGGGAGGTGGGCCTCCTGTGGAGTGACGTCACGCGGGGCGTGGGCCTCGAGGAGTGACGTCACGTGTGGGACACATTCTTGGCTTATAGTAGTAATAATTATATACAAATAATGTAGGTATTTCCTACACATCCCATTGACCACACGACCTTCTGGGAGTGCCTGTCGTTTGGCAGCTTCAATACAAGCAAACTCTTGAGAACGGTGTCAACGTGCAGTGTCTCATCAGCATAGCCAGGTTGAGTCATGGGCCCTTGATGGATGCAATATAATCTTATCGCACTGCCACAAATAATCATTGGTGAGAGAGTGCACGTCTAAACCGCTCCTGAGTTTTACTTGCATTGAACCAATGCTTCCGATATACACTCCCACACGACCCTGTGGCTGATAGCATCTAAAAAAAAACTTGATTCTTTTCATGTGGAGGTACAGATATGGGTAGGAGGCGTATTGTCTGCTTATTTATGTTGTTCGCTTGTATTCTTTCAACGACGGCGAGTGATTCGTTTTGCGTTCCCACCACGGAATGCCGTGATTCTGACCATGCCATCGTTCCGGGAGTGTCCGCTCGCCTGCAGAAAAGCCCTCTCTAGCTTTTGCCATTTTTCATTCCTACTGTACTCCGCGCACTTGACAAGCTCGCTCAAGTGCGATTGCAAAGTAAAGAAACGCATCCTTGGCACACAGCCACCAGCAGAAGCATTCAGACTATTGGACGTCGATGTTGATAGTCACAATGACCGTGATGGTTTGATGATGGTGGACGATTGTGTGCGGTGGTTTTGACGATGGTGGTTTGACCCGCTAACAGCACTTGCCCCTAACAGTGTGTTAAGGCCATACGAGGGATGTTTGTCTTCGATCTCGGTAATAGCTGCTTTTTGTGTTTAGTTTTATTATCCTTCCCTCCACACACCTCCGATTAGCATGGATAGCTACGTCCCGTGCGAAAGAAGTTCCACATACATACATGGTGGCGGTGATTTGATGATGTTGGTCTTAGTGATGATTGTGGTGGATAATGATGATGAGCTGAGTCGACCCCCTACTGGGAATTTAACTCGTGACCTTCGCACTCCGAGTTCTAATGTCAAAAACTTAAATATTCATGTGCTCCCTGTGCTCGGAGGGCACGCGTGCAGCAGCGGTCGCTGCCTGGCCCGGCCGCCTGTGGATTATGCGCTTAGTGACGGTCATTACTGCTAATTAAATTCCTATAGAGGGTTGGCGAGAGGGCAAGAGGGGGGGGGGGGGTGCCAGATTTCAGTATTACAAGTGTACTTTCTGCGTCGACCCTCTGAGTGTTGTCCCTCTCGTGTGCGTGGTGGTGGGTTTTCTCCAGCTACTCGGGATTCTTCCCACGTCAAGCAAAACATTCCTTTGGTAATGCTTTCCAACCGAGGTCGGAACGTGTTTATGCATTAGCTCCCGAGTCCAATGCTCCGTGCCTGTGAACTGCTCGCAACTGTGTACCAGCCTGGTTAAACCCAGGCCGGTCCGAATGTTTCAAACCGGTGCAGATGTCCTTGTAATGGGGTCTGTGTGGCGCAAGCGGAGAGAAGATGAGGCCTAACTGTGGCCAAAACAAGACCCGTGTGAGCTTCGTTTAGAGTGACACACACACAATAGCTCACGTGCGCGCACCCGCAAGCAGTGGGATTAAACGACAACAACGCCCGCCATTCGTTACTAAGTGGGCGGTGACGTCACCAAAAGTGCCTGTGCCGGGCTAGGTGCACTTTGAGGCCGTCACGTGACATGTGAAAGGCTCGCCAGCAGGGGTTCACGGGAAAGAACCAGATGCCATGGGCTGACTGAGCTGCCTGTGCTGCCCACTCTACCAACTCGCTGCGTTGTATCCGCGCGGCGCTTAGCTCGTACGTTGTGAGCGTCGCTCCTCCCGTCTCCATCCTCCGCTGCTGCTGGAGGGCGACTGCCTCCCAACTACCCAGTCGCTTCCTCCACGAGCCTCCTCCACAAACACCAGTGTGCGCACACCTGCAAGCACAAGGCTTGCACACAGGCATGCGCGCACGCACGCGCGCGCACACACGGCGGCGGTCCATGTTGATTCCTTGACTTTCCCTCGCATCAGCAACTGGATGAACCTGCGGGATGCAGAGAGTGGCAAGGTGCTGTGGCAGGGCACGGAGGACCTGTCGGTGCCCGGGGTGGAGCACGAAGGTGCGTGTGTTTCTGAGTGTGTGTGCGTGCTCACAACAACGAGCCGAGCGCCGGGCGGATAAAACACAGCAAGTTGGCACAGTAGGGGGCACAGGTGGTGCATCGGCCAGTCATCTCAGTCACCGCATGGCAGCTGGGACTGTCCCGTAACCTGCCAGCGGGCTTTCGACACTTCGCGTGGCCTTTAAGTGCACGTAGCCTGGCACCGGCGTCGTGGTGACATCACCGCCACTTAGTGGCGAATGGCGGTTATTGTGTGCGTATTACAGTCGGGGAGCGGTATTGTAGTGGTTAGCGCGCTGCGCTACAAACCCGACGACCCGAGTTCAATTCCTGCTCACGTCCAACACCAGTGACGATTATCTGAACCTGTCCTGGGCCTCCCCTAGGTCGACTGACCGTCAAATGAGTACTTGGTGTGGTGTGTAAACATCGCAATTAGGGAGACATGCGGCCAGGCGTGGTGCTGGCCACCCACACACCTAGTGTGCTCACGAACAGCACTTGCCCCAACAGTTTGTTAAGGCTATACGGGAGATCTTTGCCTTTTTGTATATTGGTGTGTTTGGGTGTGTTCGGGTGTGTACGAGTGTGCGTGTACGTGTGTGCGAAAGTGATAGTGGCCGTGCATGGTTAGCCTCCATACCTTTTAGTTTTGTTGTGCATGGTTGGCCAGGTTAGTGGAGTTCCATTATAACCAGGCAGGATCTGCTCTGACAATATCTCACCGTCTGCTCTTGGCCTCAGACCCCACAAACTCACAGAGACCCTCTGTATCTGCTTCAAAGTCTCCCACTGTCTGCCGTCAGGTCAATCGGCCGCCCCCCCATTCTATGCACGCATCCCACCCAGCGTAACCGTTTCTTTGCCAAATCTTATTCACCCATGTGTGGGCTCATGTGCCTGCAACCCCCCCCCCCCCCCCCGATTCCTCCCTCCGCCCCACCACCCACAGCACGCGTGCCCAAGAAGATTCTAAAATGCCGCGCGGTGTCTCGGGAGATCAACTTCTCATCCGCTGAACAGATGGACAAATTTCGCCTGGAGCAGAAGGTGTTCTTCAAGGGACAATGTCTGGAAGGTGTGTGTCCACCCAATTCCCTCCCAACTCTCTTGCCTGCTCGCCCACCAATTCGCTCGCTTGCTAATCCACTTGCTCACCAACCAATTCTCCTTACTCCACCACCAACTCACTTGCCGACCCGACTGCTGATCTCCCAACTCACTCACCCGCCCGCCTGCCCGCCCACCTCCCAGCTCGCTCACTCGCTCACCTGCCTGTTCATCTCCCACCTTGCTCACCCATCCGTTTACATGCCCGCTCGCCTCCCAACTCACTCGCCCATCTCTCAACCCACTTACTCATTCACTCGGGCACCTGCCCACTGAACTCCCATCTTGCTCACCTATCCGCTCACCGACCCACTCGCCCCCCAACTCGCTCAATCACTCGCCTGCCCACTCATCACCCATCGTCCGCTCACCGCCCACTCACCTCCCAATCTCCTTATAACGCTACATGTACAGCGGATGCACGTGTACGTTAAGAGTGCGAGTGTGTGGCGAGGTGTGACGAGGTGTGCGTGGTTGTCCTCTCACGGCAGAGTGGTACTTTGAGTTTGGGTTTGTGATCCCCAACTCGACCAACACCTGGCAGTCGCTCATCGAAGCCGCGCCCGAGTCGCAGATGATGCCGGCCAACGTGCTCAAGTACGCATGACACCCACGACATGACGCGACATGCGCTAACATAGCAACACCACGATAACACACGACAACAGACAACACTATAACACAGTAACATGCACTAACATAGCAACACCACGATAACACACGACAACACACAACACTATAACACAATAACATGCACTAACATAGCAACACCACGATAACACACGACAACACACAACACTTTAACACAGTAACATGCGCTCACATAGCAACACCACGATAACACACGACAACACACGTCGCTATAACACAGTAACATGCACTAACAAAGCAACACCACGATAACACACGACAACACACAACACTATAACACAGTAACATGCACTAACATAGCAACACCACGATAACACACGACAACACACAACACTTTAACACAGTAACATGCACTAACAAAGCAACACCACGATAACACACGACAACACACAACACTATAACACAGTAACATGCACTAACAAAGCAACACCACGATAACACATGACAACACACAACACTATAACACAGTAACATGCACTAACAAAGCAACACCACGATAACACATGACAACACACAACACTATAACACAGTAACATGCACTAACATAGCAACACCACGATAACACACAACACACAACACTATAACACAGTAACATGCACTAACAAAGCAACACCACGATAACACACGACAACACACAACACTTTAACACAGTAACATGCACTAACATAGCAACACCACGATAACACGACAACACACAACACTGTAGCATGTGCCAACGTAGCGACATGCAATGATACACGGCAACACATGATCCGTGACTATAACACAGTGACATTCAACAACATAATAAAACTTGACGCGATATCACGTCACGCGATAACACGCAGTAGACGTGTAACAACACGTGATGATACAGTTACAAGTGACATAATATGACATAATAATGCAATGTCACACACTATGAGACCTCCTTTGCCAGTAGCAAGATAGAGTAATAGGTTTTTAACCTTTTATTTGGCAACAAAACTGACACCTTCATACAAGGGATCATGCTTGCATTAACCACAATACTTGTGGTCAAAATGCAAACAAAAAGACAAATCTGATAATGTATGCACTGTCCTTGAAATTGATTGGTCCACACCCGAGACAGCTTTTTCTAGAGCCCAGTCTCACATGGTGTTGGACCAGATGACACCAAAAGGTCCAACACCAGAGTTGTCTTTTTGTTTGCATTTTGACCGCAAGTGTTGTGGTTAATGCAAACATGATCCCTTGCATAAAGGTGACAGCTTTGTTGCCAGATAAAAGGGTAAAAACCTATTACAATGTCACACATTGCTAACACACTGATATGCAACAACGCGGAATAACATGTGACATGACAACACAATATCTTGACATGATAACATGCAGTTACACACAATAACACATGACACGATACTCCGCAGTGACATCAATCGCACAATGATAATGATGATATAATGACTAGAAAGTGAATTAACACTGATGCGATGACGCGATAGTGACAGACGATGACACGATAGTGTGCTGATGACACAAGCCGACTCACTCACCAACAAACCCACCCACTCGCCCGCATGCTCACACACCCACACCCATTAACCCGCACCTCATTGTCACAAGCCCATCCACTTGGCCGCACACTTACTCGCCCACCCACTCACCCGCGCATCCACAAACCCACCCACTCATCCACAAACCCACCCACTCATCCACACAACCATTCACCCATGTAACTATCCACTCACTTTCACACTCACACACTCACCTACACACCCACTCACCCACACACTCACACAGCCGCACACTCACACACCCACTCACCCGCACACTTACTCGCCCACCCGCGCGCCCACAAACCCACCCACTCAACCACAAAACCACTCGCCTACGAAACCATCCACTCACTTACACACTCGCCCACACACATGCAGACCCACTCATCCACACACCCACCCACCTGAACACTCATTGACCCACCCACTTTCCCGCACACTCGCTCTGCTGTAGGCTGAGTCTCTGTGTCTCTCCCCACAGTGGAAACGTCGTAATAGAGACAAATTTTTTCGACGACGAAGTCCTCGTCAGCACCTCCAAGGTGCGGCTCTTCTACGTGTGAGCTTATGTCGGGCGTCGCTCACCACTCGCTTGCTCACTTATTTACACACTTCTACACTCAGCCATTCATTCACTCACTCGCACGCTCGCTCACTTAATCACTTATACATCTGTTCACCCGCTCGCATGTTAACCCTCTCGGCCACTAACTCATTGACTCACCCAGCCACTAACGCCCTCACTCGCTCACCCATCCACCCATCCTCTTGCTCACTCACACCAGCACACCCATCCACTGCACTTCCACATATGTGCTTGCCGACACATTCACACTGACCCACACACTTGCACATCAACAAAAGAATTTCCTCGCCACACACCTACACTTGCTCACATCACAAATCCACCCACTCACCCGCACACCCACCCATCCAACCAGAAACCCACCCATCCAACCAGAAACCCACCCATCCAACCAGAAACCCACCCATCCAACCAGAAACCCACCCATCCAACCAGAAACCCACCCATCCAACCAGAAACCCACCCATCCAACCAGAAACCCACCCATCCAACCAGAAACCCACCCATCCAAGAAAACCCACCCATCCAACCAGAAACCCACCCATCCAACCAGAAACCCACCCATCCAACCAGAAACCCACCCATCCAACCAGAAACCCACCCATCCAACCAGAAACCCACCCATCCAACCAGAAACCCACCCATCCAACCAGAAACCCACCCATCCAACCAGAAACCCACCCATCCAACCAGAAACCCACCCATCCAACCAGAAACCCACCCATCCAACCAGAAACCCACCCATCCAACCAGAAACCCACCCATCCAACCAGAAACCCACCCATCCAACCAGAAACCCACCCATCCAACCAGAAACCCACCCATCCAACCAGAAACCCACCCATCCAACCAGAAACCCACCCATCCAACCAGAAACCCACCCATCCACCCAAAAACCCACCCATCCAACCAGAAACCCACCATCCAACCAGAAACCCACCCATCCAACCAGAAACCCACCCATCCAACCAGAAACCCACCCATCCAACCAGAAACCCACCCATCCAACCAGAAACCCACCCATCCAACCAGAAACCCACCCATCCAACCAGAAACCCACCCATCCACTCAACCACCAAACACAACCCCTGTCTCACGTAGCAGCAACAACAATCGCAGCAGCAGCAGCAGCATCGGCAGCAGTCGCAATTTAATACTTTGAAGTTGCGACTGTGGCCGTGACATTCGCGCCAGGTGAGGTGCACTACCTTCCTGCCTACTGCTTTGGGACGCACACACACACCTCCTACACACACACATACACCTCCTCGTCCACACACACCTCCTACACCACACACACACACCTCCTCCACCACCTCCTGCGCTGTCGTGAGGAGCGGTGGATTAAATTTTTTCTTTCGGAGTGACGCGACATCGCCGCTTGTCTCCATTTCCGGCTCCGTCAATCGCTCTCCGAGTGAGACCGCGTCCGGTAGGTTTGTTACGGGGTGTGGGGTTGCTGTGTGGGGTGATCGGTTCAGGTGGTGCAGTGGCTACGGTGCTTAACTCACAATCTGAAGGTTTGCAAGTTCAATTCCTGTTCAGAGTCCGACTCCGCTCGTCGTCACTATCACCAACATCAAGGTTGTCATCATTCACAGCGCCATCATCAGGATCGACAATAATATGATTACTAATTCAAGTTATCATAAAGATGATAATTATCCCGATCATAGTCATGTATAGAATCCTAGCATCACCATGATAACCTCTAATTCCTATTAACATTACCATTCGTGGGTTTACTCCAGGTCTTGCGGTTTCCTCCCATGTGTATAAAGACTTATTAATTGGCTAAAAACATCTTACTATATAGAGGACTGCAGAGCGTGGGAAATTGTTGGCACCAGCTCCCTGCCTGGCTGCTGCATTCCAGCTCTTCTGTAGTTCCTCAGCGATTGTGAGAGATGGAATTTTCATGGACGACGCTACATATAAAACTAAACATGATTGTATTAATCACATTCAGTAACATCGTACATTGAAATAAAACTCAGTATCACCAACGTCACCCCTAATTGTCATTAACAACATCATTCCCCAAGTTATCATTATGTTGATGATGCTGATCATTCGTCATACGCAGCATCTCAGCATCTCAGCATCGCGGTCATAAACTATCATTCCTATCAACATCTTTGCCAATCATCATCATTACAGCACCATTATTAGCATTATCATTACCATCATTACCAATTTAACACGTAGGCTTTCACCACCAATATCATACAAAAATGAATTACCAATCACAACCATCATCAGCATCATCATACCCACGACCATTGTCATCACAGCATGAAATTTCCATCACTGGCTCGGTGCCAGCGCCCGTGTTGTCGGTCTGCCTGTTGAGGTATTGCACCCGAAAGCTTTTGAGGTTCGTGACGCACCATATCAGATAAGTTGTAGTCGGTGTACATGGTTCCTGCGTGTGTACATTTTGCACGTCTGTGCGCGTGCGCTGTAAAAACAAAATATATACAGTAATTAAAAAACAAAAGGAAAAAAATAGTTTTGTACGTGATGATTGTTTAGATATTGTGATTTCGGTTTGAGGCTGCGACAGCATCTGCCGTCATATACTTGGCAAAGTCTGAATTCAGCGCTCCGCGTCTTGTGTTTTTGGGTTGTGCCGCGTGTCCTGATGTCCGACGTTTCGCTCCACGTGCTGGGAGCTTCTTGAGGAACCGTATTCCCAGTTGTTTTTTTTAATAAGTTTCCGGCACATGGAGAAAAACATCGGACGCCATGCCGTACTACACGGGGTACAAACGCAAAGCAGTCGGCACAACCGTGAAAAATCTACGCAGTGGTCAATGCAACGTTTCCTTGGCCAAGTGCATCCAATGGAACTGGTCAACCACCGGCGATCGCTCCGAGCCCCTCGTTTGAACAATATTTGTTGAACTTTTCAGGTGGCTGATAAGGGGCTTTTTGCTCCTGCCGTGAAATATGTCAGCCCGTTTTGTCTACCGTCTGTCCATCTGAGAACCAGTTCTATTTATAACTTATATGGCACCATTTTCAGTCATATTTTAATAAACACTAAATCCAGTCGCTACTGACCTTACCGAGAGAGTTGCCGAAACGTGGCGGTACTACGGTACACGACGCATGATGGCACCGTCCGTTTTGGAAAATATTGCCGCATCGCGATTATCGCTGGTGCCGTTTAATCCCTCGCAAATGTTTTGTTTCCCGAGAAAATATATTTTAGGGACTATCAACAATTTAAAGCTGTAAATTAATAGCTATTGTCCATTAAATTAGCGCTTCGCGAAATGTTTTTTTCCATATTATTTGATGGCATAGCTGTCATGACATCATAGTAGTTAATACAGTTATTTAATTATTGGAGTGTAACTGGCAGTGTGTGCGTTATAAGCGTTATAGATTGTAATGCCAAGAAGACTCGTGGCAGGCTTGTGTTGAGTGAAACTGCAGTTGAGGAATGTTTGAAGTAGTTTTTTGTTATTGCTCCTAAAAAGTATGGCAATGCGCAACAAACTAGGCGATTGAAAAATGTGAAATACATTTGCAAAGTTATGGTAAACAGATCCTGTGACGATCGGCATATTTTGAAAATTAAAATGGTATCGCAACCACGCAGCTCACCAGCAGCAAACCAGTGCGTCCCTGGCACTTCAGGGAAGAATTTTGGCCGAGATTGGCAACGAAAATGTAAAAAAAAATTCACGTAATTAAAAAAAATGCAACATTATGCTGCTACGCGAAGGAATGCACATTTTTGACACCGTGAGAGCTCGATCCGAAATTCCTCCGCCTCCCGACAACGCGGCGATGACAGTGGCACAAATGGGCAAAAATTATTGGAATGTTTTAAACGACAACAAAAAAATCCTCCCCATCGGTGCGGTGGCAGGGTGGCTCAGAGGTCACAGCGCCGAGACCTCGGGTTCAAAAGCAGGTTACGGCACCCGCCTGCGATTCAAACCAGGGTTCTCCATCGCTGTGAGTTGACGGTCTCTGCCCGGTCACCGATGACAACAGTCGCCTGTATGATTGCCGTTGCCGACGGAATGGATCGCTCAATTGGGTAAAAGGCCACGGAGCAACATCGGCCACCGTCGTGAAACTACTAAGGACTTATGCCCGTCTATGAAACTTAGCACCTTCGTGTGATCGCCTTGTGCTGTAAGAATGACGCGAATACCAAATGTGCGATTTGATTTTGATGACATGATTTGAACACCGCATTAACTGGGTGAGGGCACACGTATGGCAACTGGAAATATGAATCCTCATGAGATTTTACCACGTGACACAATAATCATCGGTCTCGGTGGAGAATACAGTACCTCTCCACATCTCTCTCCCTCCACGTATAAAATGTCAACTATTCTGGACACATCCTATCAGCCACATGACCTTATGCGAGCACCTAATTTCAGCAACATTGGTTCAACACGTGCAGGCCCTGGACCGGTTCGGCGTTCAGTCTCATCAGCAAGTCAGACTTGCTCGAATCAATGCTAGATATGGGTCCCAGTTTTACGGCAGAACGACACAATGCTGTACATCACACAAAAGTAAGTGACTCGCTTTCATCAAGCGAGTCGCTTCGACTGCAGCAGGCAGCTAATCGTAGCCATCATTGGCGTGACATTCCCCCGCTGTCACGACGGCATACGCAGGCACAGAAACCATTGAGGGGAGAATGGATGGGTAAACTTAACTATTTATTTTTTATTTTACCAGTTAAGGTCCACAGCGATATCGAGCTCTTTTTCAGGAGCGGCCTGGCCACAAATGACAGCTCAATGAAGTGGCTTATCGTGATGTGGAAATGTATAGCAGTCAAATACTCCTAAACGCGTGTTTCTAAATGTGGAGGGAAAAACCGGAGGACCCTGAGAAAAATCCACACGACCACGGGGAGAGACACGCAAACTCCAAATGTACGGCAGGCGCCAGGGTCCCACGATCGCCTGCATACGAGGCGAGGTAGTTAACATCTCTTAGCCACCGTGGATCGCTGTATCTCTCCGCTGTGTTTGTATCTCTCCCCCCCCCCCCCGGGTACTCCGGTTTCCACCTAAACGACATTAAAACAAAAATCTTAACCGTTGTTGTGTTAGATCGCGTTATTTATAAATGTGTCGTAACCCTCCACCACCCGACACGGCCAATCAGTAAAAAAGTGTCACGTTGGCAAAAGACAAATAGTTCACTACTTTAGCCCACCGGTGTGTTGAGTGAATCCACAATATTTACAATTTTTGAGTAGCACGACGTTTCGCTGGTAATTACATCCAGCATCATCGGGAAATTTGCCAGAATAGTGAAGCCCTCACTTGCTCCCGGTCTTACATAGAGCAGCAGCGGGGTGACGTCATCATTTAACTGATTCAGGTGCAGTGAACTATTTGTCTTTTGTCAACTTGACACTTTTTTACTGATTGGCCGTGTCAGGTGGTGGAGGGTTACGACACATTTATAAATAACGCCATCTAACCCAAAAATATATTTTTTGGTATTGTCCCAAAAGATCCCCAATGCTGACATTGCCTCCTCGCTTGGGATGACAACGCAGCAAGCAACATTGCTCCCTGCTACGCAACACTGTGGCAGGACCCCTCCTGAATAAGAGAGCGACCGAGGCTTCACTCGCAGCCTCGCTTGTTGAAGCATTGCCATCTCCCTTACACGTGGCTCCCCAGGGCTGCCCAGGGCTGCCCGCCCCTCTCCAAACGCCACCACAGGTCCACGCAGTCTCTTCTTAACTTTTGGAGTCGCGACGCGGAGTAGAATTCTCATTACTCAGTGTTAATTATTCCGATTGAATGATGTAGTTTTAATGTAATAAATTGTTGCGTTTCAAGACGTGCTGGTTTGTTTTGTTTGCAGGTTAAAGCGACAGGGACCGCTCAGAAAACACAGATCTGAGCTTGCAGTTCAAAATACTTGAATTAAAGTTACACTAAGGTGAAGGGGCGGCCCTGCAGTTGCTGGCTCACTCCGCTGCTGGCGGAAGGACCTTCCCTAGAGGGCGCACAGTCACTACCCGCTAGTCTAGAGTCCAGTATTTTATCTCCTTTCCACGCTGCCCAGATGGAAGCGATGCGGGTACCCCCCCCCCCCCACACGCTACTCCACCACCTCCACCACCACCTCGCACTCCGCGGCCGGCAGCAGCCTGCGGCTATTGAAGGGGCTGCAGTGCGGCTCTTGACGTTTGAAAAAAATGGCTGCTCTTGTTATTTGTGTTGGTTGCCGACCCATGACCATGGGAATCCAGTTTACCACGGAAGTCCAGTTTACCGTGGGAGTCCAGTTTACCACAGAAGTCCAGTTTACCATGGGAGTCCAGTTTACCGTGGAAGTTCAGTTTACCGTGGGAATCCAGTTTACCGTGGGAATCCAGTTTACCACGGAAGTCCAGTTTACCATGGGAGTTCAGTTTACCGTGGAAGTTCAGTTTACCGTGGGAATCCAGTTTACCACGGAAGTTCAGTTTACCGTGGGAGTTCAGTTTACCGTGGGAGTTAAGTTTACCGTGGAAGTTCAGTTTACCATGGGAGTTAAGTTTACCGTGGGAGTTAAGTTTACCATGGGAGTTCAGTTTACCATGGGAGTTAAGTTTACCGTGGGAGTTCAGTTTACCATGGGAGTTCAGTTTACCGTGGGAGTTAAGTTTACCATGGGAGTTAAGTTTACCGTGGGAGTTCAGTTTACCATGGGAGTTCAGTTTACCGTGGGAGTTCAGTTTACCATGGGAGTTAAGTTTACCGTGGGAGTTCAGTTTACCATGGGAGTTCAGTTTACCGTGGAAGTTCAGTTTACCGTGGGAGTTCAGTTTACCATGGGAGTTCAGTTTACCATGGGAGTTCAGTTTACCGTGGAAGTTCAGTTTACCGTGGGAGTTAAGTTTACCGTGGGAGTTCAGTTTACCATGGGAGTTCAGTTTACCGTGGGAGTTAAGTTTACCATGGGAGTTAAGTTTACCGTGGGAGTTCAGTTTACCATGGGAGTTCAGTTTACCGTGGGAGTTCAGTTTACCATGGGAGTTAAGTTTACCGTGGGAGTTCAGTTTACCATGGGAGTTCAGTTTACCGTGGAAGTTCAGTTTACCGTGGGAGTTCAGTTTACCATGGGAGTTCAGTTTACCATGGGAGTTCAGTTTACCGTGGAAGTTCAGTTTACCGTGGGAGTTCAGTTTACCGTGGGAGTCCAGTTTACCGTGGGAGTTCAGTTTACCATGGGAGTTCAGTTTACCGTGGGAGTTCAGTTTACCGTGGGAGTTCAGTTTACCATGGGAGTTCAGTTTACCATGGGAGTTCAGTTTACCGTGGAAGTTCAGTTTACCGTGGAAGTTCAGTTTACCATGGGAGTTCAGTTTACCATGGGAGTTCAGTTTACCGTGGAAGTTCAGTTTACCATGGGAGTTCAGTTTACCGCGGAAGTCCAGTTTACCATGGGAGTTCAGTTTACCGTGGGAGTTCAGTTTACCATGGGAGTTCAGTTTACCATGGAAGTTCAGTTTACCGTGGGAATCCAGTTTACCACGGAAGTTCAGTTTACCGTGGAAGTCCAGTTTATCATAGGAGTTCAGTTTACCGTGGGAGTTCAGTTTACCATGGGAGTTCAGTTTACCGTGGGAATCCAGTTTACCACGGAAGTTCAGTTTACCGTGGAAGTCCAGTTTACCATGGGAGTTCAGTTTACCGTGGAAGTTCAGTTTACCATGGGAGTTCAGTTTACCGTGGAAGTCCAGTTTACCGTGGGAGTCCAGTTTACCATGGGAGTTCAGTTTACCATGGGAGTTCAGTTTACCATGGGAGTTCAGTTTACCGTGGGAGTTCAGTTTACCGTGGAAGTTCAGTTTACCGTGGAAGTCCAGTTTACCATGGGAATCCAGTTTACCGTGGGAGTTCAGTTTACCGTGGAAGTCCAGTTTACCGTGGGAGTTCAGTTTACCATGGAAGTTCAGTTTACCGTGGAAGTTCAGTTTACCGTGGAAGTTCAGTTTACCGTGGGAGTTCAGTTTACCGTGGGAGTTCAGTTTACCGTGGGAGTTCAGTTTACCGTGGGAGTTCAGTTTACCATGGAAGTTCAGTTTACCGTGGAAGTTCAGTTTACCGTGGAAGTTCAGTTTACCGTGGGAGTTCAGTTTACCGTGGGAGTCCAGTTTACCGTGGGAGTTCAGTTTACCGTGGAAGTTCAGTTTACCGTGGGAGTTCAGTTTACCGTGGGAGTTCAGTTTACCATGGGAATCCAGTTTACCATGGTAGTATAGTTTACCGTGGGAGTTCAGTTTACCGTGGGAGTTCAGTTTACCATGGGAATCCAGTTTACCATGGGATTTCAGTTTACCATGGTAGTATAGTTTACCGTGGGAGTTCAGTTTACCGTGGGAGTTCAGTTTACCGTGGGAGTCCAGTTTACCATGGGATTTCAGTTTACCATGGAAGTCCAGTTTACCATGGGAGTCCAGTTTACCATGGTAGTATAGTTTACCATGAAAGTTTAGTTTATCGTGGGAGTCCATATATTTGGCAAAGTCTGCGTGTCTCTCTCCCCGTGGTCGCGTGGGGTTTTCTCCACATTTAGAATCCACGACAACACCACGCGTTCAGAGGATGTGGCCGCTGTAAATGTCCATGTGATGAGCCTCTTCGTTGAGTCGTCATTTGTGGGCAGGTCGCCTCTGAAACAAGAGCCGCACAGCTCGGCAGGGCCTTGACCTGTGTACAATAAAAACGAGGCGACGTTTCGGAGCAATGACCCTTTTTGTAGCCGTTCGGCCACGCAACCGTGTATGTAAGCAACAAAGACCACCCCCCCCCCGTGTTGCCTGTAACAGACTGTAGGGGCAAGTGCTGTTAGCGAGCATCTATGAAGGCTGGAAAGGCACACGAGGGGGTGGGTGGCCAGCACCACGCCCGGCCGCCTTTGTCTCCCCAGTGGCGATGTTTACACACCGCACCGGGTACTTATTTGAGGCCGAGTCGACCTAGAGGAGGCCCAGGACCGGTTCAATAATCGTCACCGGCGTTGGCCGTGAGCGGGAATCAAACTCGGGTCGCCAGGTTCGTAGCGCGCTAACCGCTGCACCACCGCTCCCCAACGCATCATGACGTCACATCCACCGGTGGTAAGGGCGGGCTCCGCCCCCCCCGAGATCCACTACAAAATCTTATGACGTCTCATCCGGCACGAGACAGCTGTGTTGCGTGACGTCATGTCCGCATACTCCCATTCCCCCAAAGGCGAGTTGCTCAACAGGGGCCAACACGACTTTAATGACGTCACGGCCTGCGAGGGGTGGGGTCCACCGCAATTACCGGATGCGACGTCACGGCCACTCAGAGGTGTTTTTTGATGGATGGCAGAGGTGGGCGGTGCCCAATGGAAACCCAAACTGATTTATGACGTCACATCCGCGCAGTGTGTAGGAAGGGGGGATCTGGGGGGGGGCGGGGCTTGTTGGATACATCGGACGTGATATCACCGTGGGGTGGGGCTGTGTGGTAGGGGGCGGGGCTTGTTGGATACACCGGACGTGATGTCACCGTGGGGGTGGGGCTGTGTGGTAGGGGGCGGGGCTTGTTGGATACACCGGACGTGATGTCACCGTGGGGGTGGGGCTGTGTGGTAGGGGGCGGGGCTTGTTGGATACACCGGACGTGATGTCACCGTGAGGGTGGGGCTGTGTGGTAGGGGGCGGGGCTTGTTGGATACACCGGACGTGATGTCACCGTGGGGGTGGGGCTGCGTGGTAGGGGGCGGGTCTTGTTGGCTACACAGGACGTGATGTCACCGTGGGGGTAAGGCTGTGTGGTAGGGGGCGGGGCTTGTTGGATACACCGGACGTGATGTCACCGTGGGGGTGGGGCTGTGTGGTAGGGGGCGGGGCTTGTTGGATACACCGGACGTGATGTCACCGTGAGGGTGGGGCTGTGTGGTAGGGGGCGGGGCTTGTTGGATACACCGGACGTGATGTCACCGTGGGGGTGGGGCTGCGTGGTAGGGGGCGGGTCTTGTTGGCTACACAGGACGTGATGTCACCGTGGGGGTGGGGCTGTGTGGTAGGGGGCGGGGCTTGTTGGATACACCGGACGTGATGTCACCGTGGGGGCGGGGCTGTGTGGTAGGGGGCGGGGCTGTGTGGTAGGGGGCGGGGCACCGCGCGGCTCTGCTGGGGTCGCGGTGAGCGGGGCTTGGAGCGCGGAGCTCCGCGCTGAGAGCGACAACGATTCACCGCCCCTCGCTCTCAAACTCCTCAACAGCTCGGCTCACTCACTCACTAACTCACTCCCTCACTCACTACTCACTCACTAACTCACTTACTCACTCGTCCAGCGCACGAGAGAGGAGGCAGCGGTGGTAAAGGGGGGGAGAGCGGGCGGGCCGGCGGAGTTGCCTTCCTCGTGGTCCACCATGGGGGAGACGAAGATCATCTACCACATCGACGAGGAGGAGACGCCGTACCTGGTGAAGGTGGCGGTGCCCGCCGAGCTCGTGACGCTCGCCGACTTCAAGGCGGTGCTCAACAAGCCGCACTGCAAGTTCTACTTCAAGTCGATGGACGCCGACTTCGGGCGAGTACTCGCCGCCTTCACCACCACCATCACCACCTTCACCACCATCACCACCATCACCACCACCATCACCACCATCACCACCTTCATCACCACCACCACCACCTTCACCACCACCACCACCACCATCACCACCACCACCATCACCACCACCACCATCACCACCACCACCATCACCATCACCACCACCACCATCACCACCACCATCACCACCATCACCACCACCACCATCATCATCACCACCACCATCACCACCACCATCACCACCACCATCACCACCATCACCACTATCACCACCACCATCACCACCATCACCACCACCATCATCACCACCATCGTCACCACCATCACCACCATCATCACCATCATCACCACCACCATCACCACCACCATCACCACCATCACCACCACCATCACCACCATCATCACCATCATCACCACCACCACCATCACCACCACCATCACCACCACCATCACCACCACCATCACCACCACCATCACCACCACCATCGCCACCACCATCACCACCACCATCACCATCATCACCACCATCATCACCACCACCATCACCACCACCACCACCATCACCACCACCATCTTCTCCACCATTTCCATCACCACCACCATCACCACCACCACCACCATCACCACCACCTTCACCATCACCACCTTCACCATCACCACCTTCACCACCATCACCACCACCATCACCACCACCATCATCTCCTCCATCTCCGCCTTCATCACCTTCACCATCATCACCACCTTCACCACCACCATCACCTCCACCATCACCTCCACCATCACCACCACCTTCACCACCACCATCATCACCACCACCACCTTCACCACCTTCACCACCATTCACCACCATCACCACCACACAACCTCCTCGATTCTCCGCTTTAAGCCACGGGACGCGACCCCACCACGAGGGCCGCCAGGCTCCTCATCACCATCACCGTCGTCGTCGTCGCCTGCCGCTGCTGCTGCTGTTGTTGTTGTTGGCTGTGAGCGCGGCGCAGACTTCCCCCTCCTCCTCCTCCTCGACATTCTCGCAGTCCCCACGAGTCAAACACCACGAGCTGGGAGTCACGCGGCGTTCACATCCCTCTCTGTGTCTCTGTCTGTGTGTGTCTGTGTCTCTGTCTGTGTGTGTCTGTGTCTCTGTCTGTGTGTGTCTGTGTCTGTGTCTCTGTCTGTGTGTCTGTCTCTGTCTGTGTGTGTCTCTGTGTGTGTCTCTGTCTGTGTCTGTGTGTCTCTCTGTATGTGTCTCTGTGTCTCTGTGTCTGTGTGTGTCTGTGTGTGTCTCTGTCTGTGTCTCTGTCTGTGTCTGTCTCTGTGTGTGTCTCTGTGTGTGTCTCTCTCAGGAGAACCGCGATAGCCGAAACTTTCACTCGCCTCGATCCCCCCGCCCGCCTCTGTGTGCGCACTCGTTGTGTGTGTGTGCACACTCGTGTGTGTGTGTGTTCACTCACTCTCTCGTGTGTGTGTGTTCACTCACTCTCTCGTGTGTGTGTGTTCACTCACTCTCTCGTGTGTGTGTGTTCACTCACTCTCTCGTGTGTGTGTGTGTTCACTCACTCTCTCGTGTGTGTGTGTGTTCACTCACTCTCTCGTGTGTTCACTCACTCTCTCGTGTGTGTGTGTGTTCACTCACTCTCTCGTGTGTGTGTGTGTTCACTCTCGTGTGTGTGTGTGTTCACTCTCTCGTGTGTGTGTTCACTCTCTCGTGTGTGTGTGTGTTCACTCTCTCGTGTGTGTGTTCACTCTCGTGTGTGTGTGTGTTCACTCTCTCGTGTGTGTGTTCACTCTCGTGTGTGTGTGTGTTCACTCTCTCGTGTGTGTGTTCACTCTCGTGTGTGTGTGTGTTCACTCTCTCGTGTGTGTGTTCACTCTCTCGTGTGTCCCCTGCAAGTGAACCCACGAGCAGTGTGGATGTCTACTCCGTCAATTATTGCAGCACGACGCCTGTTCCCAATTCTCTGTCGCCTCGGGTAGCGCAAACTCCTCCATCATGGTGGTGATGATGGTGAGGGTGATGATCATAGTGGTGAGGATGGTGGTGATGATGGTCATAGTGGTGAGGATGGTGATGATGGTGAGGTTGATGGTCATAGTGGGGAGGATGGTGATGATGGTGAGGTTGATGGTCATAGTGGTGAGGATGGTGATGATGGTGATGATCATAGTGGTGAGGATGGTGATGATGGTGATGATCATAGTGGTGAGGATGGGTGGGGGTGATGGTGATGATGGGGGGGTAATGATAGTGAGATGGCATGGGTGGTGATGGTGGTGGTAGGGATGATGATGAGAATGGGTGGGGGTGATGGTGATGCTGTGTGTAATGATGGTGAGGATGGCAGGGATGATGATGATTGTGGTTGTTGGTGGTAGTGATGATGATGGGTGGGGGGGTGATGTTAATGTTGGAGGATGGGCACTGTGGTTCAGTTTCTTTGTGCTCCTGAAATCCAGCCTCGAGTTGATGATTGTTTTAATTTAATGATCATGGTGATGGTGTTGCCGATAATCGTGGTAGTTCGTGATGGTGGTGATTTTGATCATGGTGGCGATGGTGATGATGGTGATGATGGTTGAGCGTTTAGCGCGCTGTGCTACAAAACCGGCGACCAAAGTTGGATTCTCGCTCACGGCCACCGCCAGTGACGATTATCTGGATTGGTCCTGAGCCGTCCACTAGGTCGACTCGGCCTCAAATGAGTACCTGGTGTGGTGTGCGAACATCGCTACTGGGTGAGACAAAGGCGGTCGGGCGTGGGGCTGGCCACCCACCCCCTCGTGTGCCGTGCCAGCCTCCGTAGGCGCTACTCGCTAACAGCGCTTGCCCCAAACAGATTGTTGCAGGCTTCACGGGGGATCTTTGTTGTGTTGTTTGTGCTCCCAAAAGCTGAGTTGGCGATGGTGGCTATGTTCGTGGTGGCTATGTTGTGTTTATTGAAAGCGCATGGGAGGATGGGCGCTGTTAGTCGGATGCGTGTCTGATTCATACGTGCCATGGTCGGTGGTGATGTGAGTAGTGTGATTGTGGGAGTAGTGGTGATGGTGTGAGTAGTGGTGGTAATGTGAGTCGTGGGAGTAGTGGTGATAGTGATGTGAGTAGTGGTGATTGTGGGAGTAATGATGATGGTAATGAGAGTAGTGTGATTGTGGGAGAAGTGGTGTGAGTAGTGTGATTGTGGGAGTAGTGGTGTGAGTAATGTGATTGTGGGAGTAGTGGTGGTGATGTGAGTAGTGGTGGTGATGTGAGTAGTGGTGGTGATGTGAGTAGTGGTGGTGATGTGAGTAGTGATGGTGGTGTGAGTAGTGGGAGTAGTGGTGTGAGTAGTGTGATTGTGGGGGTAGTGGTGGTGGTGATGTGAGTAGTGTGATTGTGGGAGTAGTGGTGGTGATGTGAGTAGTGGTGGTGATGTTAGTAGTGGTGGTGATGTGAGTAGTGGTGGTGGTGTGAGTAGTGGTGGTGATGTGAGTAGTGTGATTGTGGGAGTAGTGATGGTGGTGATGTGAGTAGTGTGATTGTGGGAGTAGTAGTGGTGATTGTGTGAGTAGTGGTGGTGATGTGAGTAGTGGTGGTGATGTGAGTAGTGATGGTGGTGTGAGTAGTGGGAGTAGTAGGTGTGAGTAGTGTGATTGTGGGGGTAGTGGTGGTGGTGATGTGAGTAGTGGTGATGTGAGTAGTGATGGTGGTGTGAGTAGTGGTGGTGGTGATGTGAGTAGTGTGAGTAGTGGTGGTGGTGATGTGAGTAGTGTGATTGTGGGAGTAGTGGTGGTGATGTGAGTAGTGGTGGTGATGTGAGTAGTGATGGTGGTGTGAGTAGTGGTGGTGATGTGAGTAGTGTGATTGTGGGAGTAGTGATGGTGGTGATGTGAGTAGTGTGATTGTGGGAGTAGTAGTGGTGATTGTGTGAGTAGTGATGGTGATGTGAGTAGTGTGATTACACTGTGTAACAATTGGTTTTTGTTCCCTTTGAACCTATCTACGTGACTTTACTGAAAGACCCAAAGAATCTGAATTCCTGCGGTCACGAAAGCTTTAAGTCAAGATTGGGTAGTAAGTGTTATTTCCTAATTGCTTATGCCTAAAAAGTTTAGAAAATGGCTATTATTCCCCACAAACTTTGCTTTTGTGACCAGGACAGTGATATTTTGAAATCTACATATTTTCATTGAGAAAACGGGCGAATTTGTGTCTTTTCATTCACATAAAGTCAGAAATAAACTATTTGAATCAAAATGAACATGTATTTATACTAAAGTAATACAAAAATGACTACAAAAGATTTAGACACCAAGGCGCACTACCACAGGCAGGACTGGTTCTCTGGGGAGGAACAACGTCAAGTGGGAGCCACTGGTGGACCCCCAGAAGGTGCTGATGCCACCACTGCACATCAAATTGGGCCTTATGAAACAATTTGTCAGAGCTGTAGATAAGGAGTCGGCAGCCTTCAAATACCTTCAAGACTTCTTCCCTAAGCTGTCTGAGGCAAAGGTCAAAGCCGGTGTCTTCGTCGGACCACAGATAACGAAGATCCTGGAGTGCAATGAATTCCCCAAGAAGCTCACTAGTAAGTAGAAAGTGGCTTGGAGCAGCTTTGTCGCAGTGGTTCGTGGCTTCTTGGGAAATCACAAGGTCGAAAACTACGTGGAGCTGGTTGAGACTCTGGTGAAGAACTATGGCACAATGGGCTGTAGGATGTCCCTCAAAGTCCATATCCTTGATGCTTATCTTGATAAATTCAAGTAGAATATGGGAGCGTACTCGGAGGAGCAAGGCGAGCGCTTCCACCAGGATATACTGGTCTTTGAACGCCGCTACCAAGGACAGTATAACGAGAACATGATGGGAGACTACATTTGGGGGCTGATTCGTGAAAATGATTTACAGTACAATCGTTAATCTTGAAACACTACTCATTTCTAAATCTTTTATAGCCATTTTTCTATTACTTTAGTATAATTACATAAAACATTTT